GAACAACTTAGACGAAAAAACTGCAAAGATCAAGAAGATTTGGAAGGGCTCCGAATGAAAGCTGGTATCGAATCACACACTCAAGGTTACAACTTCCTTCCTTCCCTACCTGTATTTGATAGTATCCAATTCACCTTGCCAATCATGCCATAAGTGAATATGACAACCAAAAAGAGAGAAACCGTGCCATCAGCTTGGGGGTCATTTAAAGCAGTTGAGCTGTGGCTAGAGGTCAAACATATTACAACACTGAGCAAATCTTAATTCTAAAATACCCTCCCTAGACCAGCCCTGGCCCCAAAATACATAAAAGGAAAAGATTAAAAGGCAAACCAAAATCAAAAGCAACATCCAGGTAAAATATAACTAGGTAAAATGGAAGATAACACCCACTTCATATAGTCTTATTTCCCCTCATCTTTAAGACTTGCAGTTTATACATCACTTTTTTTTCGCATTTAAGAAAATGTAACTTGATACATGTTGAAATCTACAAGTTGACAATATAAATAAAATGAAACTAGTGGAAAAAGAATAACAGTCTGAACAAATTACAAGCTGAAAACTATTTTACATTGAAGGGAAAGAAAACAAAAATCTAATCCCAGAGGAAATAGGGTAATTACCTCAACCAAAGGTTAAGCTTCTGGCGATTAGTGTCTCTAGCAGTTAGATTACCTTCTAGCGAGTATTCAATTTTTTTCTGGCTCATAAGACAGTCTTTTTCTATGTTAGAGATGTGTAACAGAATCCCCACAAGCACTGCTTTCAATTAAAATTTTGGAGTATCATAAACCTCAAAATGCTGGCTAGCTAGAGGGTTTATGAAGAAAATAAATAAGCCATGAAAACTTAAGACAGAACTATAGAAGTCACTTTTCTTTCTACCCTGACCACTCCATAAAATAACCCCATGGGAATCCTGTCCACAGAGCGTTTCCTAAACAAGATGAAGATTAGAAGCACGATTGAGCAGTACAAATGCAAATTCCCCTATTTGAGCCAAAGACAATCCGACTATATTGCTCAAGGACCATAGAGCCTTGTTAATGTAATCCATCTAAAGATGATATATAGAAGTACTATATTAAACAACATGGTAGCCATCTTACGAGAAGTGAAGTTTTGTTGTTGTAGCCAAACCCCTCGACAACTGCAGAAATTACTATGGTTTTAACCACACCACCAGTATAACCGATGCAAGTAAGATATCAACGTGATTCCAGAGAAAATGAACATGGATGAGCATCCCAATGCTAGCCAGGAAAAGAGCAGCAAAAAAGTTGCGAATAGGTTCAACCTGCATGATTAACAAACCTCTACTAAATGTGACGGGAAAATATGAAATTTTCCACAGGTACACAATAGGAGGGGTAAAAAGCTTCTTGCTATCCAGAAAGTGTGCATAAATAGAAGTATAGTATTCTCCAATCACATACAAAACAAACCTTATAATGTTGACATACATACACATTATACATTAATTTTTCGAACACATTTTTGAATGTATAACAAGCAGGAAACATAAAATTGAAATGAGAAAATACGCATACATTTACATGTTTCTAATAACAGAACAAGTAATAATACAATCCTACTTGTTCAAGCGTATGTTGAGCAAGATCAGTTGTTGATATCATCACTCCAGCAGCAAATGAACCCAATTCTATACTCAAACCGAGCTTGTCACAACACTGAAATTACACGAACAATCAGACTGCATCACAGTTCACTATATGAGGGCCATACAAAGACGGCGGAGGAATTGAGACGCTGAGCTATCAGAAACAAGATATAGGGAATTATTCAAACCTAGCATTCGGCCTTTTACTAATGCAAATATGAAAAATCACTAGAAAGCAGAAAGTGAATAATGATTGTCTCACTAATGTAGCGCACATGGAATGACATAATAAACCAATGGCAAAAGTGAAGTAAATCCAGATATAAGACATTGTAAAGAAACAAACCCAAGCTATAAGCAGGCAAAATGCAACTGAAGCCAACTGATAGAGTTCATTGGTCTGCAAAGGAAACTATATGTCACAAACATATAAACTTGAAAGGCAGCTATATGCAAGCACTTGTTCAACAACATTCCAGTGCCCAAAATAAATCGCACCTGTGATGATAAACTTATCATAACTTTGAGGAACCAAGGTACACATGTCCGTGAAAATATCGATAGAACAACCCCTATTTGGTAGAATCATATTTAGTCAAATACGATTGGAAACCAATTAGATGGTTGTATATATATGTTTAGCCCCTATTTGGTATAATCATTTGCTGTCCTTTGAAATCAACTCACACATAAGGACATACCAAATTTATCAACATCATTGCTTACACTCCATAGATTAGCCACCATGTTAGGAGAACTCGCCGATAAATACAAAATAGGAGCATCTTCCAGGACGTAAAGCCTGTTTAGTTTTATTTTACTACTTTCTCATCCCAATAGTACTACAGCGGCAGTACAACCATTGAGTTCTTGAATCTTTTACTCAAGGTCAATGTTCAACCCTGATTGTCAAGGTAAAAAATGAAATCGAGTTTAACGATTCTCTGAAAATACAAAATTAAAAAAATATATATACACATATACATGCTTGGCTATGCTTTACTTATTTGTGAAATTTGATTTTCAAACTTTTTTTTAACTAACAAATCTTGCTTTTCTCTAACTCACATTTACAAGAATTAACTTTTAAGCACATAAGCTAGTTGCATACTGTTTCCATGACCCGAGTAAAAATAGAGGTCATGGCTTTTTAAGACTACAATCAGCTCATTATTTGAGGGGAAAATATTATAGCTCCCTACACAGAAAAAGCCAAAGAAACTTCAATCCAATTTCACAAATCTTTGTTTTTATGAGAAATAAAGAATAAGATTACCTTGCAACCATTTCCCAAATTTAACCTGTCCATTTCCAACAAAATTATTGTTCAGATTTATTAAATAATATAGGTTGCGAGGATTTATCGATGAAAAGGGTACAAAATTTGTCGAACACTACGCTTGGTCTTGGCAATGCGTGTGAATTATTGCAAAAATACTTCCAACAGATAGCATGCAATAAATCTTTTTATTTTTCAATGTCAACAGATTCTCCCATGGAAATAACTGTAGAAAATTATCAATCTTGCTTAAATAACCTTTAATAAAAGCATAAAACTATTTATGATCAACAAGATACGAATTAATCAAAGAAATTATTAATTATATTTATATAAATTATTATATTAAAAAGAAAAACATCACTTGTTAGATTCATTTATCTAATTTTCAAATATAAAAATTCCAATTAATTATAGAAACTTTAAAAACTTATAAAACATAGCTAAAAATAAAAAAAGAAAATAATAAATTAAGAGTGTGTATCTGAACCTCGAAATCTAGGACTAGAATAATGGGATTTCTTTTCATGCAATCAATCTCATCGTTATCACGTGTTTTGTGTTTCGAACACTAAACTTAATAGAATGTAGATACTCCCGACTTTATGCCAACATAACATCGTTTCGTCAATACATACAGTAAATATCTTTCGCCTACGGACGGGTACTCTTTCTTGAATTCAAGGAGTTCAGAATTTGGCTACTGCCCCAACATGGCATGTTTTCAAGCACCAAATCAAAAAGCTTTCGTATCTCTGATACATGAAGACACATTGACATAAAACTAATTGAATAAAAAAATCCATCATTTTAATACTTGTAAATTCGTTGCTATAAACCAAGGTTCCTAACATAATCGAGCAAATTCATGGTGAAACCCCAAGGTTGTGGTTCCTAATATAATCGAGCAAATTCATAGTGAAACCCCAAGGTCAAATTCATGGTGAAACCCCAAGGTTGTGGTTCCTAACATAATTGAGCAAATTCATAGTGAAACCCCAAGGTTGTGTTAAGAACCTTGGTTTATAGCAGCGAATTTACAAGCATTAAAATGATGGATTTTTTTATTCAATTAGTTTTATGCCAATGTGTCTTCATGTATCAGAGATACGAAAGTTTTTTGATTTGGTGCTTGGAAACATGTCATGTTGGGGTAGTGGCCAAATTCTGAACACCTTGCATTCAGGAAAGAGTACCCGTCCGTGAACGAAAGATATTTATTATATATATTGACGAAACGATGTTATGTTGGCATAAAGTTGGGAGTATCTACATCCTATTGAGTTCAGTGTTCGAAACACAAAACACGTAATAACGATGAAATTGATTGCAAGAAAAGAAATCCCATTATTCTATTCCTAGATTTCGAG